TCGTTTCAGCAGAGTCTTTAGATCTTTAATAATTTTGTTAAGTTTCCTCTTGTCTTCAGGAAATCTGGTACGATGCCATATTTTTCTAGCATTTCGTTTATCCTTTAGTTTTTTTGTGATCTCCCCAGTATACATTACTAGATTCTTCCTATAGACTTTTGGAGGAGGAGTAGCTTCCCATGCTGCTTCCTGAATAGATCTGGTTAGGTATTCAGTCGCTTCTATTATTTCTCCTTCGCTTTTTAGTGGCATTTTGACGTTTAGAGACGATGACAATATTGTGTCAAATATTGTCCAATTGATTTGCTTAATGTGTAATTGACATTTTTGGATCTTGTTTCTAAGGTCTTTATCTATTATGACAATCACTGGTGAATGGTCCGATGATAACTCTAAGCTGGTCTTACACTGCACATGTTCATAAAGAAAGCCTTTGGTAGCACAGAAATCAATTAGATCAGAAATTTTTGCTGTATCTGATGGCCATTATGTGGGCTGTTCAGTGGAAAAAGCTTTAAGTTTCAAGAGTCTCACTGCTTTCTATAATTCACGTCCCTTCGTTGTGGTTATTCGGGATGCCCAGAATATATTTTTCGCATTGAAGCCATCGCCAGTTATAAATTGATTCCGTAATGTTTTAAAAAATTTTATGTAGATTTCTCCCTTCACATTATGTTGGTAGGGACGATTTGAGACCTAAGAAACTTTGTACTAAATACGTTAAAGATGTTGTGGTTCCGAGTAGACGTTGTTGCTTCCTCTTTAACCAAACAATATACACCTGGTTGAGGATGTTGAGGTGATGGTGATGATGATATAGTCCTCCCAGAAAATTCGTAAAAATAATACACTTTTCTTTAGTTATACAATGACACAATTACTTTATTTATTTCCAATATATATCAGCGCTACTACGCTTCACTTTACACTTTTTACACTATTTAATACTTGGTCAAGCGCTACTGCGCTTAACCTCTTCACATTTCCATGACGCCAGTTCCAATTTTGAACTCGTCTTATATACCTAAACTTGATGCAAAAATCCAATATATGACCTAGTTACTTTATTGGGTTTTTCCCATAGTTGTATAATTTATTTTGCTAAATTCGCAAAGTTTTATTATTACAAGAATGCTCCACATATTTTTTTCAATTCTTCCGTATTTAATATTTTCAAAGTCACTTACATCATGACACCAATTACTAACCAAATACCAAAAATCAGCATTTCTTATCGTCGAACTGACGGTCTGATGCTTTGGTTCTAGTCAATAACTGCCCAGATGCAAACAACCTTGCCTATTTTTAGGAAAATATACGATCAACTAAGATCGTACACAAATAAAAATATTACACGTATTTCACAGAGAAATTGCAAAACATAAAGTTAAATGGATTAATTATTTAACTCATAACAAAGAGCACTTTCCTAATTCTTTCTTTTGGCCCATCATTATTTTCTGAATTGATTGAATGTAACCCATCAATGTATAAATAATTCTTTTCGCTTCGTATTGTTTCGCCTTTAGTGCCAAAGGGATCATCATTTCCAATGTTGTCACACAATGAAGTAGGTAATCCGGTGTCCACATCGCCAAAATCATTGAGAGAATCGAGATATGACTGCAATTCGTTGATAAGACTTGAGCTTTCTTGATCGCCTCTTCCGCATTCACTTTTATTTTCTTCAAAGATTTTGTTTCTTTTTCTTCCCGTTTCCTCTTCTTCGTCTCCTTCATTATAGTTGTTTTCACTTCTTGTGTGTTCGGAAGAACTTGTGTCTACGTCAGAAAAGGTTGTCCACAAGTGATCTCTTCCACGTTTTCGCTTCCTGTATGATTCGGAGTTGCATCGTCCAAAATCAATCGTTCTCTTAACAATGTTTTTTTCGACATGTTCCGGTGAATATGTATAACTGCAAATACTTGATGTTGTAGAATTACTATCGTCTTCTTCACAATTAAATGACATTTAACAATTCTATAAAATTTTTACAACTTTTATACTAAAATTTTACGTAAATTTTTCTTTACATTATTATTGTAAATAAATAATTAATATTAATTTAATACTTGAAATCTAAAAATCAACACTTACGATTTGAATTTGCGTTGGTAAAGATAATAACACATTTGACGACGACGACGACGACGACTGGTTTGTGATTGGCTGACGCTAGCAGCGCGTTTGATTTACTAGTCATGGCTTAGCTACATTATGGCCTACGGCCGATAGCTGCCGACGTAAATCAAACTGCGCTGCTAGCGTCAGCCAATCACAAACCAGTAGGCTATATATGGCAGATATAAGAATTGGTCCGACTGAGTCCTCGATCATAACATTTGTGGCTTGAGTTTCATCAGAGCTGTAGTGAGTACATTCATAATGTTTAAGTGTTCTTTTTATTAATATTCCTTGAGCTTTTCCGTCCGGATGCGGAGACTGATAGAAACAATAGGATGGAATTTTAAAAAAACTTTGTTTTGTGAAATGAGTTTCTGAAACTAATAATACATCTACGTTATTTTTTGATAGAAATAATCTCAGTTCATAGGAATGTTTTGACAACCCACTGGCATTCCATAAGACGAGCTTTATGGGCATACGGTTTGTTTAGAAACAAGACTTACTAAAAGATTTGTCATGGTAGTTATTTGATTAATTACTTCCCGCATTAGTTTCATCATTTCTTTCATTTCACTCACCAATGCATCGCTGTGAAGATTATTTTTATTGGAAGAAATTTGATTTATTTGGTTGGCAGCAACTTGAGCGTAAGTTTGCTGAGAGTTTTTATTTGGAGTAGTTTGATCTGGTTGAGCGCGTGCAGGTTGAGCGAAAGTTTGCTGTTTTTCGTGTTGTTCTTGATGCTGATTAGTTGAGGATACAAATTCAGCATCAGGTTTTAGAAATTTTTTTCTAAGTGGTAGGAAAGTAGACGCTTGCAGTTTTTTATATACTAAGCAGCCCTTGGTTACCTTCACAAAGAACACATTTAACATCATTTGTTCTGGATTTTCTTTCGCAGTCAGCCGATGCGTGATTACCAGCACACTTAATGCATTTGGGTTGTCTTCTACATCCTGACTTGGTGTGGCCATAGTGTTGGCATCTTGAGCATTGAGGTAGCTCACGTTTAAAATGGGGTGGCTCAAAGGTAACTCGACTGTGGAGTAAGCTTTTAATGTTGTAGCTATCTTTGTTATTTGGTTTTTGCTCTATTTGTACAACGAACATTGGAAGGGATCTTTTTGTTTGGCGATGTTTCATATTCCATATATTTGTAGTAGCATGTCCAAATTCTTATAGAGCTGTTTTTATATCCCCAATATCGACGGAGGGATGCATATTTCTTAATATGACCTTAAAGCTCCTTTCATTTTTAGGTTTGTATGTTCCGTGTTCTTACTTTCTAGCAGTTTAACGATTTTTGTATAAATTTCCGGTGCACCTGGCTGTATACGAACCCGAGTAGATGAAATCACTCTCATTTCATATTTATTATTTGCAATTTCGTTAAGCAGATTTAAAAGTGGGCGAACGTCCTCAACTTTATCTACAAAAATTGGTGGTGATTTAAGGGGTTTTTCCTCTTGTTTAGCTGGTTGGTCTTCTTTTTCTTCCACTACCAGTCCATCAAATCTATTCGAATTACTAAGCCAGTAGTTCAATTTTGGTTCTTTTGGTTTTTTCATTTTTTCAGGACTGTCTCTAAGTCTTTTACTACCTTTAACTTCGTTCCATTTTTCTTTTCTGCACGGAAAATCAATTTTAGCGTTTTAGGATTTCGCTCATTGATCCTGATCGTTCTCGTTGAGAAACCTTTAGTAAACTCCCAATGCCTTTGTTTTGTTTATTCATTTTTTCTAAACTTTGATCTCGTTTAGTTCCATCTGCTGGTGAATTTTTACTTTTTAATTGGTGTGTACCACCTTCTTTTACCGGAGGTGGTGTTCTATTTATCGGCATGAAATGTTATTATTAAATTTGTGCAGTCGTTTTATATAAAAAATATATAAAAAAAAAAAAAAATATATATAAAAGAATACAAAAAGAAAAAACAAATTAAAAAGATTTTATTAAAAAATTACACAATTACACGATAAGCGAATTGCAATTGGTATAATTTTTGAGTCAATTTACAACACTTTTTTTTCTTTATTTATTTGAAGCTTTCAAGCTTTATATGCTGTCTCTATCAGCTGTTTTAGATGTGTGTGTGGTAAAATATTAAAAACAAATTCAAAACAAAAATAATTTTGCAAAGTTAAACCCTTTTTTTGATAAAAAAAACAAATGTTTTAAATTCAATAAAAGTTTCACTTATCTTTTAAAATCATGCACAATTTTATTAGCTTTTTATTTAGAGTCACTGTCTCAATTTATTTAATTAAATTTGTGATCACTGTGTTCCATTTTTTAATAAAAAAACATTAAACGTTGCGGAGCGATTTATTTTGCGCGCACTATTTTAAGCTTGCATCATGCATTTCATCACGCATTTACACGATGTGAAGCCAAAAATTGTGCACCAGCTTAGTAGTTTTGCAACACTATGTTGTTTATATCAGCTGGTTGTGTATGTGTAATAAAATAAAATAAAATATGGTAAACAAATATCATACGAATATGTAATTTTTTTGTTTTATGTTTTTGATTTTCCGTTCGGAATATTAAAAAAAATCTAATCAATTAATAAAATAACACCGCGGGCGCGATATTTCGGCACTTTCGGCAAGTTCTTTAACTAATTATGATATTATATTATATTTTTTAATACTTTCGCATTTAATGTCGTCTCTTAACAGGTTTCACTTCAAAAAAACACGGAGCGCACCACGAACGCGACTTACTTTTTCAAAACGCAAAAAAGTTTTTTTTTTGAAAAATTAATTCATATATGGTAAACAACAATATTAAACTCTTAAATTTAGGCAACTAATTGACATTTGCTTTTTTAATATTTTAGTACACTTAATACTACTTTATTATTTACTTACATTTGTGAAATTGTAGCAACATGAGTAAAAAAATTTCTATGGCGCCATTGCTCGAAGACCTCATTATTTTATAATAAAAATATTTTCTTATATGCTCCCATAAATATTTATATATATTGATTTTATTTTTATTTAACAGCAATCTGAAAAAAATAAAAAGGTGAAATTAATAGGAGAAGTGAAGAGTATTCAGGAACTCTAACAAGATATAATTAAGTATTATTACCCTGTCGAAAATTTGTACTAAAAGCGCGAGTAATAGTTTTTTCTTTGAAATATAGCTCTCAACATAAATTTTTAAGTATAATGGTATCTATTCCTTTTTATCCGTTTTTTTATTTATTTAATTCTTTCGTAAAATTGCAGTCATGTTTATAGCAATGCACAAAAGCAAAAGTTCTATTTCAAACAAAAAACTCAAATAATTGATTTTATACAAATGGTGAATTGAGTAGTCCTTTATGCGTGAGTTAAGTACATATAAGGTGGATTGATAATTACATGAATTCACAACAGGTAGCAACACCGGAACAAAATTAATTATATTTTGTATATCTGACAAGTTTTAAATAACTTCATCATATGTTTGATAACTAACCATATGTTTGGTTAGCTTTTTGCAAGTAATTTGGTGATTTTTTATAGAATGGAAAAAATTGAATGTCTTTCAATAATAAAATTCTTTCATTTGAAAGGAATCAACAATAATGCAATCAAATTAGAAATCGATTCAGTTTACGGCAACTGTCCAATTTGGACATAATAACGACATCGTAATAATAATAATCATATCACTAATCATCTGTTTAAATTTATTTCATTTTATTTCTTATTTTATTTTGTTGTCAAAGCGTATTCTTATTCTCATAATGTGAATGACTTGATGTCTTAACGGTGGGTTAAGATATCAACATTTATCAAAAAGTATCGATTCAGATTCAATAACAAACGAGTTATTGAACAGCAACCTTGCATCATGTTAACAACAATAAACTAAAATAGTCGAGCATTGCCTGGATCTCACTTGCATTTACTCTCTTTTTTCTTGCATCCAGTTCCTCTAATCACATGCATGCACCTGTAGTTATTTAGTTAGTTGTGGTGAAGGGAGAAACGAGTTCTCCTCAATTAGCTAAAAAAAAGCCGTATTGAATCCACAGAACCTCGTAATAGTGGGTAGTAGAGAGAAGATCAAACTGAGGCATTTATAAAGGCACGAATCTGGCAAATGCTAATGCTAGCGATATCGCCGAGTGTGTTGAAGAAGGGAGTTCCCAGAAATTTAAGCCTAGTTGTGGTCAAACCTAGATATATACATATCAAATGCTTTGGTGTCCTTTCTTCGAGAGCTAATAGACACGCATTACAAGAGATACCACAGTCTAGCTCCATGCGGTTCCATGGTCCAGTGCCCTGTAAAGACAGACATTCACCTAGATACCTCTGATTTGCAACCATTCAGTAGAAATCTTTTGGAGTAGAAATCTGAAAATGCACACAATTGGCATATTTATTCTCAATATTGAAAGTACTTTAGCATTGGCAACTGCATATTTTATAAAAAAAATTAAAAAATCTTTGACTGCATGGACTCGTATACATTATATTGCAATAATTCATAAGACACCAAATGAAGTGTTTCGAATTAATACTGCAAAATCCTTTATAGTTTCCTTTATCAAAACAACTTGAAAACACATTTTCGATTTTCTGAAAATGAGGTGGTTATAACAAGTACCCATTCGATGATAACGAAACAAACTGCACATCAGACAACAAGAAGATATTTTCATTGAAAAATCTGTGTTCCCTTACAACGTAAAGATTTGGAAAGACAGTTGCTATCGATCCAAAATTTTTTTGGTTACAAGTTTTTCTAAAATTAAAATGTGTATCACGTAATTTTGAAATGAAGAAAATAGAGGCGATTTACTGAGTCTCTTATTTAGAATTGAACGTTACACTTTGAATTTAGTTTTTAAACTGTTTATTTATTTACATCGTGAGAATTTGCTAAATTAGCACTTTAAACACCAGCCTAATATTACCGTCAAACGGACGTTAGGGCTCATGTTGCATAAAATGCAATAAACTTATTATACTTATCAGCACGTTTATTTACTCATATAGTATATGCTTATGCACACCAAAGCGGTTCTTATAATACCAATAGAACGGATTATTTTTTAATACTATATATTTTCCCTAACTCGGATTATGTAAAGTAGACATAAGGTGGTGTGGAAATATGTATACACATAACCAATTACATAAAAATTAAAAATCTATTTTATCTAATATATAATATATAAAAATCTTGTGTCACGGTGTTGGTGGTTAAACTCCTCCGAAACGGCTAGACTAATTGTTTTTTTCCTAAATAAAAATATTCTTAGCTTTTCACAAATTTTTCTGCCTGGCCAACTCATCTCATTTTCAATATTTTATTTGTTCATGTTTGCATGGCCAACTCATATTATTTTCAATATTAAATGAAGAATATGCAACCACCACATCACTCCCCTGGCAGTGACTGAGTAAGGCGCGATGTCACGTTAAGTCAAATTTAACGTATCTTCTTGGAATGCGCACTAATCGTCCCCTTCGTGTTACATTATTGGGTTTGGTATCCATTCGATTACCCGTCATAGTTTCTCTACGTGATAGGTTTACGTCTTCATAGTCGCTTGATAAAAATGCTGCCTTTACTCGGTCAACACTCACCCACACCGGTTTGCCTTTGATTAGTATATCATACGTCCTGTCTGAACGCCTCACAACCTTAAATGACTCGTCATACGGTGTTTTTAATGATGGACTACCATCCCTCAAAAAAACATAAGAAGCATGTTGCAGTTCCTTCTGTAAAAATACCTTTTCTTTTGAGTGGTGTGATGTGGGAACTGGACGTATCTGGGACATCATCTGTCTCATATTTTCCACGAATTCATGTTCTGGAATTTTGTCATTATTACCTTGCTCCAGAAAATCGCTCGGCAACCGCGGAATTGTCCCATATACCATTTCTGGTAGAGTGCTTTGAGGTCTTCTTTAAAGATATTTTGAAACGCTAACACAATCAAAGGTATTGCGGTTTTCAGAGTCCGGTGAAATCGTTCAATCAAACCATTTGCTTGAAGATGACGTGGACTAGTTCGGATATGTTTGGCATCAATGAGTTTGGCCAGTTCATTGAACAGTGCTGATTCAAACTGTCTTCCTTGATCTGTTATAATCTGCCTCGAAACGCCAAAGTGCATGATCCAACCATTGATGAGCGCTGTGGCCACCGTGCTGGCATGTATATCCTCGACAGGGACTACCGCTGGCCATCTGGTAAACTGATCGATGCATGTAAGGCAATATCGGTAACCGTTTGTCATACGAAACGCTCTGCTATTTGCTTAATAGTAGTTCGCCGAACAGCATGTGCCAAACTATATATTGAATTGAAGAGGCGTTGTCTGAACTGTTCAGTTACAAAAGGACGCACACGATTTGATGATACATCGCATGCAATTTCCTTAGATGAATTTGGAATGACTATCCATTTCCATTGAAGTGCAGATTTATTCGTATTAGACAGAAAACCATTCGTTTCAATGTCGGTTTTCTGACTTGCTGCTAATTGGTCAAGGTCAACTAGATCTTCTTCGCTGACAGCTTCGATACGTGACAGAAAATCGGCTATCAGATTATTATTGCCAGCTATATGCAAAATGTCGGTTATGAATTGACCGATGTAATCTAAATGTCTCAGCTGGCATGACGATGCCTTTTCCGGTTTCTGTCGAAATGCATACGTTATCGGCTTATGATCGGTGAAAATAGTCCAACGTCTACCTTCAATCGCATGTTTAAAATATGCAACCGATTGATAAATCGCGAGCAACTCACGGTCGTACGTGCTGTACTTGACTTTGGTGCTCATCAACCGCTTTGAGTAAAATCCCAAATTCTCGAATTGTCCGTTGTTGATTTGATTTAATGTAGCGCCAACCACTACGTTACTGGCATCCACGTGAAGAACGAAGTTTGCGTCTGGGATTAAGTGAACGATTGTTGTTGCATTAATTAAGGCTTCTTTGTATTCCGCAAATGCGTTACCTGCATTCGCGGTCCATTCAATAACAGTTTTGTCCTGTTTTTTGTTACCTGTAACGAAACTTTGGGTGACGTTCAAAAATTTTTAGTTTTTGCCGGGGTATCCTCAGCCGTCGTCCAGTGTCGAGACAATTTATTTATAGTTTCGCTGAGACGTTGTTTTAGAAGAAAAAAAAACGTTGTTTTATATATATAAATTATATATATCTTTATTTATTCCATAAAAACTTATGATCTAACAAAGTTTAATTAACCAAATTCCAAATAAATTATTTAGCCTATAATAAGTGATTATTCCTTGAAAAAAACATTCCTTTTGCTTTTTTTAATAATAATCAAAAAAAATATATGTTGACACCAGAATTTCCTTTCTCAATATATTACTTGTTAAAAGATTTTTGGCAACCACAGTGTGACTTCCTGAGCCCCTCCTCTGTTAAAAAAAAAAGCGTTTACTCCGTGCTGTGAAATAAAACTATTTGAGCCAATGAGCCAGGTTAAAAAATATAGTACTCATAAGACGAGGAATAAAATTTCAAACTACGTTTGACTCAAAGAGCCAGGTTTTTGGCACAATGTGCCAGATGACCAATAGGCCAGTGTACTCGTTTTGGAAAAGTAAAATTTCAAGTATTTGGTAAAATTTACCAGAAGGCTCAATGAGCCAGAGCACTTGTTCTTTTACTTGTCGAAAACCAAGTCCTCGATTATATGAAATGTGCCTCCTTTTATATCGAGCATACCGGAGCTTTTTGGTGTAGCGTACCGGTATTCATTGCTGTACTTGACTTCGCCGTGAAGTTGAACTTTGTGTTCTACTGTTTTCCTTTTCTTCTACTTCGCCGTGATTTTTAGTACTTTTACTACGAACCTCGCACAAAATGGTTCGCTTCCCCACATCTACGGCACGCACTTCGTACGTTCACCCTTTCGGTTTGTACTCTGTGAACAGAAACTGGCGGTGACCATTCTTGAGTTTGTTGTCGCTCGGTTTTGCTTAGTTGAATAAGTCGCTCGAATTCTCCTGCTAATTTGATCAACTCTCCCAAGGAGCTAAATTCACGTGGTTTGATGTTTAGTTGATATTCCGCCCTACTGTTTCGATAGATTCGGCTTAGTTGTTGCCCCTCTGTAAACTCGGCATACCGCATCAACTCCTGTAGTGCTAAGACATAGTCTTGAAATGACTCATTCTTCTTTTGGTGTCTGCTCCGAATCGTATCTTCTAGTTGCTCTAAATAATTAGAGGGCAAGAAAAATTCTCGAACGTCCTGGACAAAGCTTGACCAGTGTGTCCACTTCCGATTGTTATTTCGGAACCACATTAAGGCTCTCCCTTCGAGTATTTCTAGCATCATCCTAGGCAGGATGTCTTTGGAAATGTTATGGTTGTCGGCGAGGCCTTCCAGTCTCTCCAGGAATGGTAATGGGTTCGTTTCGCCATTGAAATGCACAGCCCATTTGCGCACTTGATTCGCGATTCTCGCGAAGTCCTCAAACTTGTCATTCATCGTGGTGGACTCTGAGATGTGTATTTTCGGTGTCCCTTGTACACTGTTCTTTATGTTCCTAGTGCATTCTTTTTTTTCTTCTAAAACTCTGTCCCTGCTCGGGCGCCAATTGTAACGACACTTTTGGGTGACGTTCAAAATTTTTAGTTTTGCTGGGGTATCCTCAGCCGTCGTCCAGAATCGAGACAATTTATTTATAGTTTCGCTGAGACGTTGTTTTAGAAGAAAAAAAAAAAACGTTGTTTTATATATATAAATTATATATATCTTTATTTATTCCATGAAAACTTATGGTCTAACAAAGTTTAATTAACCAAATTCCAAATAAATTATTTAGCCTATAATAAGTGATTATTCCTTGAAAAAAACATTCCTTTTGCTTTTTAATAATAATCAAAAAAAAATTTATGTTGACGCCAGAATTTCCTTTCTCAATATATTACTTGTAAAAAAAAAGATTTTTTGGCAACCACAGTGTGACTTCCTGAGCCCCTCCTCTGTTAAAAAAAAAAAGCGTTTACTCCGTGCTGTGAAATAAAACTATTTGACCCAATGAGCCAGGTTAAAAAAATATAGTACTCATAAGACGAGGAATAAAATTTCAAACTACGTTTGACTCAAAGAGCCAGGTTTTTGGCACAATGTGCCAGATGACCAATAGGCCAGTGTACTCGTTTTGGAAAAGTAAAATTTCAAGTATTTGGTAAAATTTACCAGAAGGCTCAATGAGCCAGAGCACTTGTTCTTTTACTTGTCGAAAACCAAGTCCTCGATTATATGAAATGTGCCTCCTTTTATATCGAGCATACCGGAGCTTTTTGGTGTAGCGTACCGGTATTCATTGCTGTACTTGACTTCGCCGTGAAGTTGAACTTTGTGTTCTACTGTTTTCCTTTTCTTCTACTTCGCCGTGATTTTTTAGTACTTTTACTACGCGCCGTGTTTTGTGTGTGTTTTTCTTAAAATTAGTGAAAATAATTAACAATTTTAAACCAAGGTAAAAAAATATTTATTTTGTGGATTCAATAATATTTAACCCCAAATGTGAAGATATAATTAAACAAATTAGAAATAATAAAAAACTAGTGTTGATGTGCTTAGTTGGTGCCGGAGTTTTTTTGTTTTGTTTTGTTTTGTTTATGTGTATAAAATAAATTTGTACAACCAAGAATGTTGAAATTATTTTGTGTTTGTTGTTTTTTTTTCTTTTTATTTATAAATTTGTTTCAAATAGATATTTGTTAAAAAATTAAACGTGTTTTATAATAATGGTTCATTGTTGCTGTGTTTACAAGTTCTTTCATTAATTCATTCATTAAACAATTTAAAACAAAAATTAAAATTTTATTGTATTTTTTTTTTATTAGCATCTGCACACTGCATGTAGCGATGCCCGCGGTACATTGGCTTCGAGGATCGCAGGTAATGTCCATGATATGTTGAATAACATTTTAATTAAATTTTATTTTTTTTTCAGCTAAGTCTACTTCAGTTATTTTCACGTGAGTTAATAAATATATTATGTGTAGCGGTGGCAGTTATTTAACATACAGACTGTATTTTTCTCTTCTTCTAGCTACTATGTAACACAAAAATTTATCGTAAAAATTTATGTCGTTACATACCTTTAATTAAGTTTTGAAGTTTTGGAAAATTTGCAATCGTTTCAATTTTCTTACCTGATGGACGGATTTATGATTAATGAGATGACCAAGGAATGTTACTTCTTTTTGTGCGAACACACATTTCGCAATGTTTATTTTCAGACCATGTTCCTGTAGTCGTTGTAGTATGCTGCGCACATGTTGCATGTGATCATCTATGTTATCGGAAGCGATGCAAATATCATCAACATAATATATGGCAAAGTTAAACCCGAAAAGAACTTGGTTCATAATCTTTTGAAACTATTGTACTGCATTACAAAGTCCAAAAGTCATCACATTAAATTTATACAGGAAAAAGGTGTTATTATTACTGTTTTTTCTCTATCCTCTTCAGCAACCGGTATATAAAAGTAAGCCTTTTCTAAATCTAATGTTGTGAAAATGCGTTTCCCATTTAGAGAATGCGTGAATTCTTTGATGTGTGAAATGGGATAGCGGTCAGGAACTGTTTGTGCATTTAGTCGACGGTAATCGCCACAAGGCCGCCATAAGCCATTTTCTTTTTGCACCATATTTACTGGCATCCCTGTTGATTAAAACTACACGGCAAGGAACATTATTTTTGCTTCCGCACCGAAACGATGGTGATAGTTTTTTTTTTTTCGAGGCTGGAGAACAAAAAATGTCTACACACACCCGCAGAAACGTCTTTCTGTGGGTAGTGCACGGTGCGCGCTAGTCGCTGACATGCTAAAAAACTCCCCTTTCCAGGATGAAGTACATGACCCGGAACCACCACTAG